TTGGCTTGAATCATTCATAGGTGAGTGTTTTATAGAGTGATAAACATTCCTCTGAAAATGGTCCGGTACAAGGATGTGACTGAAAATGAGCAAAAAGAAAGCAGCTTATGTCCAAATAATTTTTTGTTTGGACAAACAGATCTTCATTTCAGTTTAATCAATTTAAAATCATCTGCTCAGCTGTTCTTGTTAAAGTCCACTGAAATGTCTACGGTTAAAAAGTCAAAACATAAAAAGATTTGATAAATGTGTCTGTCTATAAACAGGCAAAATAATCCAACCACCTACACTATCAATCATCAAATATACAATAAAACACAGATCACAGTTTGTGCACATTTTTTTTCCAAAACTGTTTTATTTATTACCATTTTTTTCCAAGCAAAGTTTTTTTTTTATTTTTTTTTATATTAATGTAAATAAAAAAAGATAAAACTTGGGATTTTTCATTTTTATGTACAAGCAAGAAAAAAAAAACAATGTTTAGGAAATAACAATGAACAGAGAACAACCCTGCACAGTAACACTGTAAAAAAGAAAAAAAGCGTTAGAGTGGAATCAAACACCTGCAGTTCAGAGCTCCTCATTTTAGCTTGTGAGTCCACATTCTCTCTCTCTCTCTCTCTCACACACACAGACACACAGCTGAACAAATGGGTTTCACTCACACATAAAAATGTACACACGTGAAGTGTGGTGGTCCTCTCCACGATGGTCCAGTGTCTCCACAATACTGTTTCCCTTTACAAGGTCGTTATGGCAACAACCGAAAACTGTCCCCCACCACCCCATCTCTAAACTGAACTCTACGCTAACGTCGAATAACTTACTAACTATTCAGGTGCAGTCCAGCTTGGGCCTGAGAGAAAACGAGAGAGCAGAGAGAAAACCTCTGACCATTTCCTTTGCATTGGTTTCATTTTGGTGTCACATCCACAGCTGTGAATGTGGTGCATAAAGACAGAAATCCTCTTTAAGCAATAAAAAAAAAATAAAAAATAAAAAAAAAAGACACTGCTGTATCAGCAAGGTTTGATGGGTTTCCGGAATAAACCTTGTGATTTTAAACTGAGCTCTGACAGGTTTTCTTCCAATTATGGAAGTTCTGAAGGGGAAATTCTTGTAATTACCCTCTGCAAAAATGAGCTAAAACTTACCACCAGGGGGCAGCACTTCACCAGTGGGATGTTTGCAGGTAGGTGCTGCTTTTATTTTTAGTCCCACCCTCGTTTCCTCAATGTGCATTGCCTTTGGCCTGGCGCCACAGTAAAAAAATAAAAATAAAAATAATAATACTAATAGTAATAATTAATAAATAAAGGTTACACTGACCCTGCAACACAAGGCCTGCGTGGCTCACTTTAGTTAATTTTTGATGTTTCAAACTACTTTTTAAAATACAGGAATTTACAAAAAGTACCTTTGAATTTTTATTTGATTTTTAAAAATGTAAATAAAACTCAGGCGTTGTCAAATTTTTACACAACATAGTCCTGCTGAATGCCAATATAATAAATAGACCTTATCAGAATTTCTACTTATCTATTTAAATTTTATATTTGTAGCCTTTTGTATTTATTAAAATATTCATCTGATATGAATAAATTCATTTGTGAGGCAAGATGTCTGAATTTTAAACACCCAACATTTTTATGTTAAAGGCTGTTGTGACTAAATTCTAAGTAGTAGCAGCGAAAATCAAAAAATAAATCCTTGTCAGTGCGTCTTAATCAAGCAGATTCTCATCAGTTGTGTGCAAATACTCCTGGATATGAAAATAAAGAGTACTGATACGCTGGTAAGAGTAAACAGATGTGTTTGTGAGAAGCAACAAAAAGAAAACCATACTCTATTCTGACAGAAAACTGCTGTCTGCTTCCAAATTACATTCTGTACAAAAAGCAACCCTGAGTCTCATCAGCGGGTCGGCCGCTCCGCAGCCTCTCACCGTTAGCCTCTGTGGTCCGCCCCTCCAAATGCAATCGCTCCTAACACCACAGTGCTCCCTTCCTCATCGAGTCAGAGGACCCTCGGGTGGGTGAGTCAAACATAAACAAACACACACACACACACACAGCTTGTTATTATTTTTGTTTCTGCTCCTTATTGGAATTGTGTTGGCATTTTTGTAGCTTTGACAGCATGTGGGGTGGAAACCAGCGCCACGACAGGGAAGTGTGACAATCGACAGTCACCGGCTCGCTCTTTTTCAGGTTCCCTAGATCCCATCGTCTTCACTCTGCTCTCTCCTGCATGACTGGCTGCTTGCTTGATGCTGGCTTCCTGTGTTTGTCTAATCAGGAGTAGATGGTGATGACTTCACTTCCTCCGCCTCTCACCAACAGTACACGCTCCAATCCTTCTGTCAGGACCTCCAGGAACTCCATGTCTGCTCACTGAATTAACGAACTTCTCATACTATGTTACTTTGATAATATAAATGAATTCATTTAAATACATGAAAAGCTTATACTTTTTAATAATCATGTTAGTAAGCAAAATTTAACTAAATTTGCTTTCGTCTTTAAGGCTTTAGTGATTTTTTAATTAATTTTTTTAAACCCTGTTTAAGCCATCATAAAGGTGTCTGCTGTAACAAAAGTACACTCAGTGACTGCAAAAACAAGCACATAAAATCTAATTTGGTGCAGACTCAGGGTTAAGGATACAGTTCTCATCTCCTTCGGTGTTCCTGGGAGGTCCAGGCATGTTGAGCAGGACGATCCGGGCGTCGTGGGATCTGTTGACGATGACCTCGTTGAGTTTGACGGCGGTGTGCATTCGCCTGACGTTGGAGTGGTCCCTGGAGGAAAAATGAGATGCGTTAAAGGACCTGGTTAGCGCGGATCTCAGTGTCACAGAGAAGCCTGCTGTGTCTGCTCACGGCCTGATGCTCAGCATGTCCCTGAAGCCCTCGGGGGTGGAGCAGCCCGAGTGCGTCGCTCTGTATTGTGTGGTCTTCTCTTTGGTCCAGGTCATCTGAATGCGGCGGTGGTGCTCAGAGCTGCCGCCGCCGCCGCTCCCCGCCCGGTCTCGCTCGCCGCCGTCTGTGTCATCTTCGTCGTCTGAGCCGATGCTCGTCAGACGCAGCATGGAGTTACGATCCTTCACCAGCTGGGCCTGGCGTGTGAAAACACACAAACACGCTCTCTCTCATCTCTTTTTCCAGCCTTTTCTTCCACTTCATTGGCAAACCTCCTCTCTTTTCTACAGTCATTCCTGACTCCTGCTTCTCTCCGTCTCTCTGTACCTGTCTGTCTCTGTCTCCTCTGGAGGTGTTTGGCGTGAAGGGTCCAGGACTTTTGTACCTGGGGGAAAGATACGCCTACAGAAAACACAAGGTCACCTAACTCCCCAAAATCAAACACAGCCTGCATCTACTCTGGTGGGCACTGAAGCACAACTACAGGGACACGGCAGTAAATAAAAAAGGCCTGAGACAAAAAGCTTCTGAAAATCTGAAATGAGAATGAGTGTGAAGGGTAGAGGGAAACAAAGATGACAGAACAGTTAAAGGAAGAAGCATCTGACACATGTTAGCATTAATAACTGAGCCCTTCAGATAAAGAACTGGACTGACAGTGAAATAAATGTGGATTTGATCTACATTAGGGAGGTCAAAGGATTTGCTCCGTAACAATTCAGTGTTTTATTTAAAGCAGGGGTTTTCAAACTTTTCCCTCACACACCCCAATGAAGAACCCTGGAAAAAGTTCACCCCACCATCCTGTAATTATTAAGATCACATTATTTTATTGTGTCTCCCCATAGTGGAAAATCATGCTGGACTGCTGCATCAACACTAGACAACACCAAACATTAGGGTTAGGCAGCTGTGGCTAGAATGTAGCTTGCTATTGCCAGTGTGTGAATGTGTGTGTGAATGGGTGAATGATTGAATGTAGTGTAAAGCGCTTTGAGGTCCTTAGGGATTGAGTAAAGCGCTATACAAATGCAGGCCATTTACCATTACGATAACATCACATGTAATGGAAGTGTTTTTAGGAGGCACAGGCTTCAAAAATTAAAGCTGCAGTTACATTAAAGCTGCTCCATGTGAATGTGATAGTGCTGGTGTACATTTAAGTTACTCCTCTGGTCTGAAAAGTGAAGTCACAGCTCAAGTTTCTAAGATCTGATTTGTTTTCCTTAAATGCCAGCAGGGGGCGACACCTCCTGACCCTTAGTTCAGCTCACTGTGTAAATTTTGTTTCTAAGAGCGTGAGAGGAGCGTGCAGTTTCAGTCCCAGCTTCGTGAAGACACTTCACAAACAGACGGCGGACGTCACGGTGACCACCGCCTTTTTTCCCTCTCAACTCTTCATCTGAAGGGCTCAGCTGCACTCACAGCTGTTCAGAGGGTTTCGCTCTTTACTTTAACAGCGTGTCCTGACTGCAGGCTACTCTACAGAGTCTAATCTGCTCTACTTCAGACAGCTGTTGCTTCTCTACTGCGCAAACTTACATCATCAAAACTCCAGCGTACCCTCTGAGGAGATGAGAAGCAAAAGGAGGCGACATGAACGTTTAACAATCATCTCAATGCAAGTTACCGTCTGCAGTGCTTTTTTTGTCAGTAGCCCGTGTCCCTTACCATGAGTGTTACCCACCAGGATTTCTTTGCTATCACCTCAGTACACTGCACTTTAGTTTCTTTAGCAACCTTTGGACCTTAACGCTGAGCTCTTTCTCCTTAAATCTGATTTAATCTGGAAGAAAACGGTGACCTCAAAGACAAAACATGGTGTCTGTACTGGGAATCTGATCTCCACTTTTTCCAGCTTATTTTTGCAGAACAAAAAAAGTTATTTCTATATTCCCTTAAACTCCTCCCAAGTCATGAACTCACAGCTGACCTTGACCTCTAACCTCACCTGAGACCTTGTAGCTCCACCTGCCTACCATTGTTGCTGCTACTGCTAGGGCTCTCCTGGTGAAAGTGGTGAACAAATGCTTGTTAAGACCCAGCTTGCATAAAGTTTCAAACAACTCCTAATCAACCCTACGGGCATTTTTCACACCACACAAAACCCCGCTGTAAGCTTTCCACACCTACCTCTCTGTCCCGATCAGATTTAGACAGTCGCATCTGTCTGAGCATCTGACACCTCTGCTCCATCATCAGCGTCCTCTCATAGGTATATGCACTGATGTCACTGTCGTGCTGAGAAGAAGTGAGAAAACAGCTGTTGTAGAGATTAGTGGAAATCAGACTGGAATTTTTATTTTACTGAGATCTCAGGTCCACATTTAACCTTATATTCACACAGTTGTTCAGTTTATACACTTTAAGAACTTCATCCAGTTTAGAATTAACATAACGCGCATGTCTTTGCACTGCGGAAGAAAGGGGGAGTGCCCGAAGGGATTTAAAGCAGGTTCCTTCTTTCTGTTTTCATGTTTAAAGAATTCAATCCACCAGAGGCCTCAACACAAAACTCTGGTGTACTCTGAAGTGCAGAGAGAGACACCTCCTGCTGATAGGCAGTAGAATCTCTTTAGTCAAGACACTGAAAGTATTACCTGTTTATTTTATATGTAAAAATCTGTGATTCAACAACAACATAAATTCGATCTTAAAGGCTGTAAAAAATTATGCATCTACATGTTTCAGCTGGCAAACCAGTGCAGCCATGAAAGGTGAATATTTCAGTCAAAGTGCAAGTGGTCAGACCCGGTAATGTAATTGAAGCAGTGCATAACAAGATAACCTTAAAAGGAGATCAGCTGGATTCAAATCAGATATCTATATCTATAGATCGATATCTCTCTATATATATCTATAGATATATATATATAAAAAGCTAATTGAGAAGAACTAATTGAGACGTTCAGGGTTTTTGTGCGTACCATCTCCACTACTTCCACCTCAGCATCGATGCGTAGCTGATAGGTGAAGGTTAACAAATCCTTCTTCATCTGGATGGAATTATCCTCCATCTGGGCCACTGTGAAGATTCGCATTGAACACTTGCGCCACACCTGGTCAGAGACAGAGTAGAGGGTTCAGCGGAAACTTTAAAGGCTTTGTTAGAGTTTAAGATCAACACTTTGTTTTCTTGCCTTGTGTTGTCGCAGGAGGAAAGGCAGAAGCATCAGCATCCCGCCGTCATGGACGATCCACCACACATCGATGTAGCCCTCTGTGCAGGGCTCGGAGTTGCTAGGGAACAGGGAGATGTTTTTGGGCACCAGAAGCGCAAGGTGGGCCGCTGTGGTCACCCGCACTGTGTCTGGAAGGAGGAAAGAGGGCGTCGTTAGCTTGTTAACTCTGAAACAACCCCATTAACCGCTTTGCTGTCCTCTCTTGACTCACTGATGAAGGTCTTCCAGGACTGTGGGTCCTCGCTTTGCCTCCAGGCGTGAGGCCAGCCCATCACCACAGTGTTGGGTTTCATTCCTCCCAGGCCACTCGACTGGATCATGTGGCTGATCCCATCACGTGGCTTTTGAGCCACGATGCACTGGCAGAAGCCCTTCACGCGCTCCTTATCCATCAGGTGCTTCAGAGTCTGAGGAAAGAAGGATAAAAGGTCCAACTCCACATTATCCGAAAGCAAATACATTTCCACCCATCAATAACAAACGGCCCTACCTGCTCAGCAGCGAGCGCCTCTCCATAGCTCTGCAGGTAGTTCCCGGGGACAACAGTGCCAACAATGGTCAGGCCTTTTCCCGCCTTTAGCTGGCTGGCAAACGTCAGGAGCCGAGGAGACTTAACGTGGGCGTCTTCGTCCAGTTTTAGTAACACCAAAAGCTGAGGCCTGGACACGAACAGACAAGGCGAAGAACAAGAGCTTGTGTGCGTTAGTGGATTCTTCCTAAATATTAGTGACAGCAGAGCCTCAGATTGTCTGTCTTTATGCTGTCTACATTTTTGAATGGGTTTTGAAAACTTCACAGCCAAGTGCTCAGATAACAAAAGAAAGTGGACTGTGAGACATGATGGAAGCGCTGGAAAGGATAATAAATAGGCCTTTCATTTAGCCTGATGTGCATCTCCCCAGTTGTGAAACCACAGCACCACTATGAGCCAACTCATTTTCAGAGTTCGCTCACCCCCTGTCTTCCTGTCTTGATGCAGTCAGTTCAGCTCAGTCAGCATCATTTGAAGCACATAAAGAGACCCAACAAAGTCACACGGAGGCCCCATGGCTGGCTAACATGTCAAAATGTAATTACATAGCAACAAACTGAAATTCAATTTATTTGTGAAAGAAAACCAGTGTCCAGCAACCTGGAGTTCTCCCAGATCTCTTTGAAAGTGACAGTAGTGACCTGCAGTGCTTAATTTACTGGTCTGCTATACCTAGTACTGCACACCAAAAGAGACTTGGCACATTAAAATCATCGGATTCTTGTTTATAATGCTAAATGTAACGCAGATTCTGATTATGTCTTGCAGCTTCACTCCCAGCACTGCACGCAAACTTAAGTGCAAACAGTTCACCAACTTCTAACAGGTCAACTTGCATCCTGTGTTTGTGAGACATTTCAATACCTCCAGTTTTTAGTATGCGGTGGTCCTTCTTCCAGCCTCAGCAGAGCATAACGGGCAGCGCTGAGTGACAGACCACGGATCCCATCTCCCCACTCCTTCTCTGCCCTGATACACAACCACACCCAGAAAATATAAGAGAACATACAGGTATATTTATTTATTCACAAACAGTATACACTGTACACTCCTCTGTTCCCCTGAAAATAAAATAAACATGTTAACACGAAACAGACATGTTTACACACCAGTCTGTACATGCACAATCATGTGGAGGGAGTACATCTCCATGGCAACATACCCTTGATACTCAATGTACTTGTAGATCATCCCGGCAATCACCATGGCAACGATTGCGTAGTACCAAGAGGATATGAACATGAGCGCCAGGCAGAAAGTCATCCCCAGAAAGGACAAGCTCCTGGACAGATGAGCAGAGCAGACGTCAGGGGGGGAGGGGGGAGCGAGAGAGAGAGAGTGAGTCTTTGGTAGTACCAGTGGTAGTATGAGAAGCGAGGCCTCCAGTTGGGTGTCCTCAGGAGGGTCTGAAGGGCACAGGCCAGGTTCACAAACAGGTAACACATGAGGAAGAACCTGGAAAGAGGGTTGGAGATTCAAACTGATGTGATGAAGGCAGACTAAGTGTGCACATGCACACACATGTAACATAACTGTATCTTACATTGTCAGAATAGGAGCCACCATGTCCAGAGATGCGATGAGAATCCCCAGCTCAGCTATCAGAGCTGTCAGCAGCAGAGCCCACGTAGGTTCCCCGTTAGCTTTCCCGTGGCCAAACACCTGCCAGAAACACACAGAGTTCAAATATACACACACAGACCCAGCAAATCATGTTTAAGGAATGGAGTGGATGATAAGGCAGGAATTGGAGAGAATACAGCATCTCCAGGTAACTACAAATTACACTCAAACTACCTAAATAAATGGGTCACACTGTACATGACAGAAAACATAAAACACCATCACTTTAAAGCATTTTAAAGCACCACAGTTCCATCAAGGTATTTGCACACTGTCTTCCCCCTGCTGCAAGATGTTTCTGTATGCAAGTGGAAAGAACTGAAGTATGCAGCATAAATACATCAGTAATTCAACATCAGTAGGGATCTGTGCTTCATACAGTATCATTAAGTTAATCTTGAGCACAACAAGAATAAAGGAGAAGTGCTTGGACAGTCCCTGTAATTAAACTGAAAACTAGCAGCTCTAACCCGGAGGAAGGGGATGATGTTGTCTTTGGCTATGGCCTGCAGGAGTCGTGGAGCGCCAGTCAAAGACTGGAGGCCTGCGCCACATGTGGAGAAGAAGGACCCGATCACAATGACCCACGGCGAGGGCCAAGCCAAAGTCCCCACCACCAGATTGCCTTTAACTGAATCTCCAAACCTGCAGAAGTAACAACACATGAAGTAGTTTAAGCATCAAGTCCTTCTGCCTCACATACAACACAACACATGCAAATACAAACACAAGAGCAGGTGTACTGACTTGTCTCTGAGGACCACCCCCTCGATGCAGGCTCCAAACAACACGACATTGCTCAGATCTGGATGAACAGCAGGTCAAGAAAAAAACAAAACAAAACAATACAAAGTACTTTCAGTGCCACGAAAATCGGACTGTGCTGAGAAAATTCGAAGGACTGCCTCTCAGTCATACGCCTCCGCTGCCCGGTCGAGATACGCCATCCAGTCTCTGTGGGCTCTCCACATAAATCACAAATCACAACAGCACTCGCCTCAAGGTGCTTTATATTGTAATATAAAGACCCTACAGTAGCACAGAAGCCCCCCTATAAACAAGAACCTGAGGACAATAGGAAGGAAAAACTCCCTTTTAACACGAAGAAATTTCCACCTCACCCTCAGACACGATCAGTTGAGGGGATGAAGACAGGACAAAAAACACGCTGTGGACGAGAGCCAGAGATTAACAGTAACTAATATTTAAATGCCGAGTCATGTGCCAACACTCAGAGTGAAAAAGATGAGTGAAGAAGAAACACTTTGCATCATGGGAAGCTCACAACAGCCTAGGACTATTACAGAGTAACTAAGGAAGGATTCAGAGTCACCTGATCCAACCCCAACTATAATTCTTTTTAATTATAATTTTTTTTATTTTCAAAAAGAAAGGTTTTAAGTTTTAAAAGCAGAGATAGTGTCTGTCTCCTGAATCAAAACTGGAAGCTGGTTCCATAGAAGAGAGGCCTGACACTGAGGGCTCTGCCTCCCAGTCTACCTTTAAATACTCTAGGAACAACAAGTAAGGCTGCAGTCTGGGAGTGAAGTGCTCTAATGGGGTAACAGCGAGAATGGTGAGCAAACTAAAGGTGAATTTTCGACCTTTGACCTTGATCTTAACCTTTGATTAGCAAATTTCAATCAGTCCACCTTTTAAAAAACAAAAAACACAATTCAAGGTATTCTCAGAGATGGATGTAAGGATGGACAGACAGCATGAAAATAAAACAGGTGGACAGACTTAATCCACTAACAACACAACATTATTCTCATTAAATATTTCCATGATCAGCATTTTGGTTAAAAACTTCAGAACTGTGTTGTAGCATCTTAAATTGTGCTTTGAGTTGCTTTTGAATTTGAGTGCATGAAAGTTCAAATTGTCCGATGAAAGGATACAGACTAAAGAGGTGGTGAGGATGGCGAGGATGGTTCCGATGGGGATGGAGCGCTGAGCATCTTTTAAATCCCCCGACCGGTTGGAGCCGGCCATGATTCCTGAGAAACAAAATCATTCAAAGAAAGAGGAGATAAGTGATAACTCAACAGCTTTGTGCTTAAAATTTCAACTTTAATGTTACACTGAATATACCACAGTTTTTTAATAAACACCCTCATGAGTGAAATGTGTGATCAATATTTCAAATCAAAGAGAATCCATCTCCATATTTTTTCATTTTTAAAGTGTTTTCAAGCTAAAAAGTGAAAATAAAGCCAACTGCACAGACACAAACAGAAATCCAAGAATAGATGCCTGACAGGTCTGATCCTGAATCAGCAGCTGCACCGTGAGCGGGAATCAATATCACGCCTACAGCGCTTTTCCTGTCAGTGATCGGTTTTCATCACTGAACCAAGCCAATATTAGGTTTAAGTTTCTTATATGCTTATATTTCTGAATTAACACTGAATGGAGCCCAGTTAGTATTTTAGGGGCGTCTGTACCTGTGACTGAGGGGAAGAAGATGCCCACGAGCACTGTGAAGGAGGTGGTGATGTCAGCAAACACGTACGGATAGCGATCAGAGGCTGGGTGTGCAACTTGAGAGGTGTGGAGGGATCTTTTCTCCAAAACATCCCCTTTGTGGAGGTATGTACTCCACAGGTTCTCTGTTAAGAGGGAGAAGAAAAAAACCCCATGTAAGATCAGTCATTGACATTGGCAGAGGATAAACATTCACCTACACATTCACATTTATTTAGATTTAGAGGCCCTAATTAGTGTAACATTAGTAAGATGGTATAATATCTGCCTCTGTCTCCTTCGATAAAACATCCTCCAACTGCTGCTTATCCAGGGCTCAGTTGTAGGGGCGCCAGCCCTAGCCAAGAAGTCCAAACTTCCCTCTCCATAGCCACTTCTCCACCTTATCCAGGGGGACATTGAGGCATTCTCAGGCCAGCTGAGATGTTATCTCTCCAGCATGCCCTGGGTCTGCCCCGGGGTCTCATTCCGGTATGACGAGCCCAAAACACCTCAGCCAGGAAGCATCTTAGTGAGATGCCTGAACCACCTCAGCTGGATCCTTTCAATGAGGAGTAGTAGTGGCTCTACTCTGAGCCCTTCTTGGATCACTGGGCTCTTCACCCTTTCTCTAAGATAGAGTAAAGTCAAAGATTGACCAGTAAACTGGCAGCTTCACGTTTACATAGAGTTCTCTCTTTGCTACAACAGAGCAGTGCAGTGATGTGGTTCATTTGTCGATCTCCCTCTCCGCTCATTCGTGAACAAGACCCCCAAATTACTTAAACTCCTTCACTTGGGGCAGAGGAGGGACTCGTCCCTGACCTGGGGTGGTCACTCCACTCTCTTCCACCTGAGGGCCATGGCCTCAGACTTGGACCTTCAAATTCTCATTTCTGTGAGCTGTGAAGCCTTCTGCCTCTCAGCTCTACCTAGAAATTCTGTCCTGTCTGTGATATTATGTTCATTTTATTCATCTAAGATGTTTGGCGTGTTCACATATTGGGGGATAAAAACTGGATTTCTCATCTTTCTCCTTAAAGCACCAACATAACTTCAGACCAGATTGCTTTTAAAGCATTCTGCTGCATCAGGCCAGCTGAGGTCCGTTATTGTTACAGAACACAGTATGTCAGGATTTATTTATGGGCTCAAATTGTGGTCATAAATATTTTGTACTTGTAAATCAGTTTAGTATGTGTAAAAATAATTTGTGTGTGTGTAAAAAAGATTTGTGTGTGGACTCCATAAAGCACCCCTCCAATAGCCAAACCCACCTGTTCTCTGATTGGATAGTTAAATTTGTGATTGACATAACATTGGCCAATCAGATAAAAAGAAGAAAAAAACGGGTCAAAATTCGTATTTGTAACTTGAGTGCAGAGTTTCACACATATTTTTTGGCTAAGTCCACACACAAATCTTTTACACACACACACACACACACACACACACACTTACTTCTTACACATACAAATCCTGATTTACAAGTACAAAATATTTATGACCACAATTTGAGCCCATATTTATTTTACTCTTGTTATTCCATCATTCAACTGCTCAAGCTAAGTTTATAGCTACAAGGGAAAACATCAATACTAAGTTCTTCCTGTTTTAATCAGGAAGAATCAAGAATACATTTTAAGCCAGAGGGAGAGATAGTGGCTACTTAACGCCTGTTTAAATGTGACGGTTTAAAGTTTTAATCGATTATATTTTTTAAAATGCACACTCAGTGAATAAGAAGTAATTTCATACTAGTCAGCTATAAGTGAGGTTCTAGCTTTCAGCCAAGAAACAACACTAACAGTGCAATCCCAGACTTTCCTGGAACTTCCATGGAGACCACAGACTAAAAAGAAGATGGACACAGCCAGACTTGCTAATGACCACCCTCATCAGATTAAAAAACAAACAAACAAACAAAGAGGCAATGGTAAAACACTCAGCTTGGCTTCGTAACAGGTGGGTGATATCACATTGGCCGTGTCCATATTTTATATGATCTCTCATTCAGAGAATCACTGCACTCCTCATGCATGCACTCTACCTGATATGGCCCCACTAGTCAGTCCGGGGATCCCTTTAATCTCAGAGAAGTTGTTTGAAGTGAAGTATTCGTCACAGGTGGTGTTGAGCTGTGAGTTATGGCAAAATAACTTCCAAAGATGTGTGGTCTTCTCCACCATCACCTCTGGGACATGGCTGGGGTCAAAAGTGGGGCCCTCTGTGCTGTTTTCTATCAGAGACAGAAAACAACAACAACAGCGTTTCAGAAAAACTCAGAGAGACACTCTTACTCCTCGTGACTCGTAACAGAAAGAAGGAAATCTGAACCCACCGTTAATCGTGAAGTTGCTTTCTAATTTCTCAGCTGGAACTTTAACCAGGACAGTTTTACTACAGTGGTTGTCAACAACATCATGGGCGTTGATAGTTCTGTTTCCCAGCATGCATACGCTGTGGATGAAAGCCCAGTCAGTCAAAAAAGTGAGGCATAAAGGATCGCTCAGCTCTGTGTTTTTCCAAATAATCAGGACTCACGGAAAATCCGGCACGCTGAAGGCAGAAACCAGCGCTCCGACATAGATGGATAAAATGGAGATGATGACACAGGCCAAGAAGACGGAGGCCAGTTTGTTGACGTACTTGACCCCCACGAAAACCAGCAAGGCCATGAAGAGGAGAAAGATGGAGCCATATATCCTCATGTTGTTCAACATGGCTGCTCCTTCACCTTCAAAGATCGCTACTCTGGGTGCAATGTACATCTGTCAGAGGGAGAGGGAAGAGAGTAAGAAGCAGGCCTCACTTATCTGAAGGTTCAGTAATATAAGTGCGTTTAGTGCAAATCAGCCAATCAGATGACACATATAAATAATATCAGCCTGTCAATAAAACTGGTCAGCCTCCTTTTGTGTCCCTAACTCAGGTCACATGTTTATTTAAAATAACTGAGCTTATGGGTTTTGTGAGGTCCACATATAGTGAAGGCAATGAGTCGTTGCTACCTGGTATCGGTATAGAGTCACTCAGCGATCACAACGTAAGCCTTTACATCCAGAAAAAAGTCTGGAGAACACGATGCTAACTGGAACAACAACAAAGCAAACAAAGCAACTCACCAGAAGGATCTCGACAGCTCCCAGGATGTACATGGCTCCAGCGAAGGTTGTGCCCAAGTAGAAGCACAGGCCTACCGCCCCCCCAAACTCTGGACCCAAAGAGCGGCTGATCATGAAGTAGGAACCTCCCGCTGGAGGAGGAGGAAAGAAGCAGGAGGAGGAAGGTGTACGTAAGGGTTGGAGGAAGTGGAAATGAAGAGGGAGAAAGAGGGATGGAAAAAAGTGGGATGAAGACAGAAACAGATTGGAGGGGGAAAAAGAAGGGTGGACAAAGAAAGAGAAAGAGCGGAGGCGGTGGATGGTTAGTAACATTATGATGTTGGGAGGCAAAAGGGGAGAAAAGAGGAGTCATACTATGCTTGTAGAAGTAAGCATAATGTTCTATGTGACACAAATACAGACAGAGCGGGCTTTCATTCAAACGGCATCTGCAAATACACACGGCAGCGGCTGCTCAGCTCACTCCAAGTGCTGGACCAGGTCGAGCCTAATGCATCCAACCTTAACCTTCTGACATTGTGCACCAGGCTGTACGTGAATAAGCCAACACTCGGGTAACACAGCCCAGCCCGCATTATGGTAAAATTAACATTGCCTCTACACAACTGCTACTCCGAGTGTGCTAAGGCAAACGGCGGCTATTTGCTGATACCATTTGAACCACGTATAACACAAATGAGGCAGTAAGAGCAGATACCAATACTCTGCTGACTGCGAGCATAATTTGGTGTTTGGTTTCCAAACAGCAGCATTGAACATCACACAAAAAGGAACACACAGCAGGGTCGATGTCACAAAAAAATGTAATTGAATATGAATGTGGTAGGTTTAGACATATTTAATGTGAGATGTTCCTGAGTGAGGCCACAAAACCTGCTGGACTTTCAGGTCACTCTGTCTGCACAGGCTGAGTGATTTTTAGTGCTGAGCTGTATTTGAGGAACCAAACACTTTATTAGTTGTTCAGCCTGACCTCAGTAAACTCCACACACCCACACATACACACACACACTTTTAATCGCTACCATCTGAGACTACAAAGCATGACACCTGGAAGCTGCTCAGGTGAGACAGACAGAGCGTGGGGTGAAAGTCGGAAAACGTTAGGGATTAATTTTCTACTTTACAGAGGTTTTCTCGTTCTACATTCAATTATCAAACTGTGGCATGCTTGTTGGAAAATAAGTCAGTCAATCAAACTACTCTGACATTCAGGATATTCGCCTCGAGGCATTTTGGCGAGAGAAAAGGTCAATGGCAGATAAATATTCTAGGTTTTTAATGAAGGCACAGACAGAGAGGGAGAGCAGACAGAGGGAGAGACGGGACACAGAAATAACACTCGTTAGCAAAACGTCATCAGCGCGCCCAAAGCTGGAAAATGAGAAGGACAACCAGGAAAGACAAACTACAAAAGTCAACACAACATCCACAGAGGCCACCAGACTCAGTCCACTGCAAAGTGTCCACATAAAAATGTGATTTATTGTGGAAATACACTTCGATTCAAAGACACTGAAGCAGACAACACAGAGGTGAACCTAAACTCAGCACCCTGCTGGATTTATAGCTTTTTATAAAGAGCGCATTTTCTTTCTTTGTGTAAATAAATTACAGAATGAATAATATGAAGTTAAGAAATAACTTACATTCATTATGTAAAGTTAATCTATGTAAATCATTGTGTTAATCTTAATCTAATAGATTAAGAGTACCCATTGTGCTCTTCATACTGGTTCTAAGTGTGGATAAATGGGAAGGAAAAAAACATGGAAGAAGAAGAATGAGAAGGGGAGGAAAGAGTAGAGAGAAGAACAAATAAAGGGAAGGAAAGGAGGGAAAAGTAAAGAAGATGAGGAGGAAGAAGCAGAAAGACAAGAAGGAAGGATCCCTGGGCCACTGTGTCCACAGAATGAAGGAAGAAACATAAAGATAAATGAATACCTGGTACGACTCCATTGGTTGCGATTGCGCTCATTGATATGGCGGTCAACATTGTCTGGAGAGGAGAGACGGCAGTGTTTTAGAAAGGTTTCCTGTTTTTGTCTCCTTGGGGCTGTTTGCTAATACTCCAATACTCACACAGCAACAGCACATAAGAACAATACAGAAGGCCTGCAGCACGCCGGCAGTTCCCACCACCCAGGTCAACCGCAGGAACAAGATGACGCCGAAGATGTTCTGCAGACAAGGCAGGTACACGCCCATCAGCGTCCCCATCTGTGGCGACTGGAAGATTACACAGAAGAAAAAAGGTTTAAGCAGAAACGAAATCCAAAGACAGCACGTAATGTTACACTGAGGTGCTCATTTGGAATTTGTTCACTTATTTCAGTCCATCATACTACCTTCATCTGTAAATAAAAAGACACTAAATACATTAAACTGATGTTAGATTAAAGGTTAATTCAGACTTTCAATGAACATCGTTTTAGCCATTATTTGACAACTTCATTTGTGTGGGCTCCCCCGGGGTACTCCAGCTTCCTCCCACAGTCCATGTTAGGTTAACTGGTGATTCTAAATTGGCTGTAGGTGTGAATGTGTTTGCCCCTTAAGAGCCTCTCACACCCTCCGACAGATGGGACAGGCTCAAGCCCCACAACCAAATGCTTTTAACTGCTAAAAACATTAGATTCATCAGAGGAAAGAGAAAGCTAATATTAGATACTGTAATTAGCCAATAAGCTTACATTCTGAATGATCTACATTCTGCTGTAAGCAGACCTTTCATACGCTGCAACATGTTTTGACCTGCCACCTGTCCCACTTGGTGACGTGGCCTTTGAAGGTTTACCCAAAAAGCAGTACTAATGCCTGGGTCCAATACTCTACAGTCAGTCAACCGGAGAAGTTTTCCTATAGAAATGATTTATGCCATGATACTCACACACAAATTTCAGAAAAAACATCATAAGACCTGGAGTGGGTGTAAAATGGATTTGGTTGCAGCTTTTAAACAGAGCCTAAATGTCTTACTGCTAGCTCAAAAATGGTTCAAAACTGCTGGAAAACAAACAAACAAACAATCAAAAAAATCCCTCAAATCCATGTGTATGTAACTCAGACAACTTTCCTGGTATGGTCAAATTGCCTCATTTAGTGACGGGGCAGATGGCAAATATTTATTCCCATATGTGTCTGATTTTATATGGAATGACCCTAGTGTCCTAAAACCCATGTTTTTAACATTTTGTACATCTGCTTGCAGGAAGCACACATACATGGAGACCCATGAATCACTTCTACTCTGGTCCAGTTGGGATTTAACGCTGCTCCTTCTCCATTCAAATGTTTTCTTATCCAAATATTAATCTCTTAAAGCTGGTCTTTAAACTAGCCCTGCTCCACTGTCATCTTTCCAGGTAAGGTCTTGAAATCACTGCACGGCTCCTCCCTGCTGTACCAGACTTATGTTGATGCTTGTACTGAACACACCGTGGGGTCCAGATGGGAGGATTAAACATGTTTTGGTTTAACTTTCCCTGCCGTCTGTTGGCAAATGTGTCCGAGCAATCCGGCAAACGTGCAATTACTCTCAAACCGCCAAAACAGACAGGCAGTTCTTATCTGGGCCAGCCAGCGCCTTATCAGGAAGGATTGGGCTCCACACCAGGGTTACATCCGAACGCAATTTCAGCTGGAGGCAGCGAGTCAGGAGGGCGGCAGAAAGAGTGTTTTCTAGGACAGGGCCTCAAAAACTGATGAACAAATGGATGTCTTTATTTTTATTGTTTCAGGTGCAACATATGAACTAGTGACCATGTGAGGATTGTTACTGTCATCCAGATCAACTTTGTACTTACTACACCATTGCTACAACCAGGGCTCATCCTGGTTATGACACTGCAGTAAAAGATCATTGTTTAGCCAGACAAAGTACAGCTGGAATTGTGCACTGCATATGGGCAGATTGCCCAACATGCCTCACCATCCAGTGAATCTCATTAAAACACTAAAGGGATTTAATGTTTTACGAGGTCACACTTGTGTTTACGTGTCTTTCAAGGTTTATTCGTTTGTACCTTGCTGGGTTTCTTTTTCTCGCCGATGCTCTCGGCCTCTTCATGCTCTTTGGCCCCCTGAGTCAGGTTGGTGTAGTTGACCAGGCGGCTGAGGAGAGAGGACACCTTCGGCCGAGTGTCCATCTCCTCCTGTGGGTAGAGGACGAAGAAAAAGAGGAGACAATGAAGTATGGTGGAGCGAGAAAGAGATTAAAACAGATGGAGTAAAGATGGGGCAAATTTTAAAAAAGGAGGGAGGGCAGAAATTACTGTGAGGTAGAGATGAAGTAAAGATAGGAGAACAAGTGAAAGAAAGATAAAATGACAACCAGAGAAAGGCAACAGACGGAAGCTATAAAAGAAGAGGAGGCAAAGAGGCATACTGAACCGGTAGATAAAGAAGTGGGAGAGAGAAGAAGGAACTCTGTAAGATATAAAACCTGAAATTATCTACACCCACCAGCCACTTGCTGGTTATTCTGGGCTCCAGTTAGCAGACATTCATCAAATAAACAGTAACCATAAAGAAAATCATTTTCTATTCTTAGCCCTGTGCTGTATAATAAAACCATAAGAGTGAATACATTATAAGAAAGCAGCAAATACAGCCACTAGAAAGAGTGGCTGAAATGTTTTGTACCTCAAACAAGGCCAGGTTTTTGTCGTAGAAGTCGTCATCGTCCACCTGATGATTGCTGTTGATGTACACACTGGAGGTTTTCGAATTTCCCTCACCTAGCCAATAAAAGAAAGACAGAGAGAGAAATCATAAACAAAGGGAAAGAAGAGGAAAGGGTGATGCAGCATGACTATGACTGAGCACAAAGGAAGCCTTTTTTTTTTCTTTTCTTTTTTTTTTTAAATCGCTGTCATCATGGCTCGGTGGTGTTGACTTTCAGCTGTTTCCCTCACAGACACAGTTTGATGCAGCGACCCCGTGTCGTTGGCTCGGTTCCTCCCGTCGGTGCAGACCGCTGCATCGGCAGCACCTGAGTCAGCAGCATCACTTCCCCCTCCCTGCTACGCCACACTCACGCTAACAGCAGCCAAGGGTCACACGCTTCACAGAAGGGCACTCAGAAGAAAACCAGAGACTGAGGGATGAGACAAGTTTTCCCTTCTTGTGTAACATCCCAAAAGCAAAATAAATAATAACGGTGTGGATTCCCCCTAAATACATGTAAAGGTACCCCAAACTAAAATAATAACAATAAATAAATAAATAACAAGTCTTCCTATATTTACTTCATTTTCCTGTAAACAAAGCAAACTTCCACCTCTTCACACCTGTAAAAACTGTGGTGCGGCCGGGGGGGGGGGGGGTTTGAGAGCATGATTCATTTTCAGTGTTTACTCTATGAATGAGTTCACACTAGCTGGAGAATCTAAAACTGCATCAGCAGCTTTCACTGTCTATTTTAGAACATGGGCTGGTTACGTGCCAAGGAAAAAATAAATCAACGATCCCTGGGAGGAAATAAAGAAAAAAAAAAGCCAGCATTTGTGTGGTGGGTGGTAACTTCCCATCCTGTTCGCAGTGCTACATTTGGCCAAAGATACCGAGTGTGATACTGACTCAACACAGGCAAAACCTCACTCCTAACAATCAACAGCTGAAGCACGATGGCATGCTGGGAGATTTTAACTAACGAGCTAATCAGGTAGCTCACTCATTTGTTCATAAAAAATGTTAACTGGCAGGTCATCTAATGCATGCTCCTGATTTTCATGATGCTGCTCTTTACACACAGAAACTGAACCATGTCAGATGAACACAGATAAACGTGAATGCTCCACATCTCAACAAGCACACACTCGCCCGGATAGATTTGAAAATGTTGTTGTCTGAAAACGCTCCGCGTCCACACTAGCGTTTTCAGTCGTTTTCACAGAGTTGTGCGTCCACATTGAAATGGACGAAAACGCTTACGGTCCAGTACTGTGCATGCGTGAAGCGCAAGAAGATTCCACCTGCCTCATTTCTGTCTGCTGTTTATTTACTTTCCGGCTCTCTGAAACATCGCAGCAAAATGTCGAGGAAAAGCACAGAGTTTTTAAATGGACTAACAATGAGGTGGAGTTGTTGCTGTGAGTAACACAAAAGTACAAAGTTGCAAAAGCGAGTGAGAATTAAAGAATTTGAAGAAAAGCTATCTGAAGCATGTGCAAACTGATATTAATCTTTAATAGGGCTGTCAAAATTGAGCGCAAACAAAACAACTGCTGTATAATGCCCTCCGCTATCTTAGTTTAATTGGTCACATGACTGCATCACATGACTAACATGCGTCATCGTTTTCGAAAGTCTCTGTTTTCGCTGTCCACTCTGCGGCGCATAAGCACCCTCTTCAAATGTATGGGTTTTCAAGAGCGTTTTCAAAACGCTGGATTTTCCTTTGGGGAAAACGCCATCTCAGTGTGGATGGGAGACCAAAACAGAGAGAAAACGATGTGTTTTCATACAAAACGCATTAGTGTGGATGTAGCCTCAGTATGTTTAGCACTTAACCTGTTAATCAGGAATGTCGAGATTCACACTTTCTATCTGCTCAGGCTGTTGTGGAGAAATCATCTGAACTTTCAGTTTTCACAAAGGTTCAAACAAACGTTTAGATTTGCATTCTTTGGCTCGACTACATGAGCTCTGCATAATCAACATTTCAGTTATAATCTTGAACACACTTCTTTAAGCCAACATTATTGGGATTCTGATTGGTTGGCCCTCACAAACAGGTTTGAACAGCAGGTTTACACAGTAAACTGTGACATCATACAAAGCCAAGAGTAGAAAGAAAAACTGAAACCAGCATCTAGGGCAGTCTGAAGTCTGAGCTTTTGGCTCACAGGGACCAAAGGACATATTTAACATAGCCATCCACCATCAAGACTATTTTTAAATGTGCAAAATCATTTGCTTTAATAGAAAAACTTAATAATCATGCTAGAAGATGATGGATAAATCCTGTCACAGGACAGGGTGTCTGGCTTATAGCAAAGGTTGCAGCACTGTCTGGGCCAACATCACTGACAGTCAGCATCAGAGCTGAGAGCATCGGGGAAACCACCTGCTTCCATGTGGTTAGTTTTGTTGTTGCGTCATTTGTGAGACCAGCCTTGCTGTGCACAGCTTACAGATGATGCTGCTCTTTTTAAAAAAGTTCAGTGATTCAGACAACAACATGTGACTCAGGTCAGACACTTCTCAACCGAACAGCCAACTCGACTTACAAATACAGTCCCAGAGTCCCAAATTTGTTTTTCCTCAAATATGAAAGTATACTTTTCTGTTTCTCCACAAACAGGCTTTATTTGGGTGTGCTGCCAGGTATTTAAACTGCAACCCAAGAAATTGCGTGAGTCATTTAAGATTTTTATATTTTTATTTTGAAAGCTTGCTCGGCACTAACCAGTCAGACCCTGCTCTGCCCGTGTCAGCAGGATGTCATTTAGCTGAGTCTCTCAGCAGCAAGTTAATGTTTATGTGCCGCTATGCCAAAATCACTGATGCAGCAGAGCAAAACGAGAACTAGTGTCGCAGCCTGCCGTTCCACCGACGGAGATGCATCTGAACACCAATCCACTATTTATTGTCACCAAGTATGTTACTATTGCAAATAAAAGTGCCGGCGTGCCTCCTTCCACACATGTTCAAACACTCTTTGCCTCTGTAGTAAATGCTGCAGTTTGACGGTATATTGGTGGATATCCATCGAGTTCTATACGCTCCTATCTACACCAGTACTGATCTGAAAACCTCTTAGCCAAACTAAAAGCTGTCCAGAGACACATGTGAGCTCTTACTGCTGTCCTCTCTGTGCTCAGCTGTTCAACTTCGTTCTATAATCCACACCCAGTTCAACACAGGGGAACACAGCTGTGTGTGTGGCCCCAAGAGGACAGGTCCTCCGCCCACACCTGAGTATGATACTGTGTGTGTGTGTGTGTGTGTGTGTGTGGACGTACAGTCAGTGGAGCAGAAAGTTACTGGAGCCAGATGTAGCAGTGTGTGGACTATATGCATGCTTCAGTAGGGAACTTTATCGGTGTCAACATTAATGGATCACAGAGTCTATGACCTTTCTGAAAATAACTCTCCACACCTCCTGTCTTTCAGGACTTTGGCTCATTTACTTCTACAACAGCATTTTTCTTCATCTAACACGCTTGCTCTGCTATTTCTGCACAGACTCACAAACGGCCACCGCAGCATCACTAAAGCTTGACCGAAACTCAGTCGGATTACCTGGCTTAATATCTATTTATGGAAGCTTATTAAAGAGCGTGGGCCATGCTTACTACTATGCAAGAGCTTTACCGGATCATCTCTGCACGGTTATAACCCCTTTTGACACCTGCACAGTCACATCAGTAAAATGGAAGCTGTTTACCATTATCCTCTATTTATTCTTCTGGATTCTTCTGAAAAAACACATATCTGTGCACGTGAAGGGGTTTGTGATTAAGGAAAGAAGTGAATCAGTTCAGAACTGATGTGGCAGTAAGGGAAGTGGAACATGCGCTACAATCACAACAGTATAAAATCCTCTTATTGTTCTCAGTTTCTGCTAACCGCAATAATGGTGAAGTTCAACTGTTGCTCAATTGGCTGACTAGCCCTGAGGGGAGCACTCTGGCCTCAAGTTCTCACTTAGAAAAACAAATGGAGAGCTTAACAGCCCAGAGAGACATAAAACCTATTTAAAAATGCATTTTTCAACTTGAGACATGCATGAGCACATCTCAAGAATCTAAAAATAGCATTTCCCTTTTTATTTCCTAGAAAATGAACAGTCTGGGCAAAAAATCTGTAGAAGACCTTTCTTTGTGTCCGGTGAAAACCAGTCTCACTAGTTCATGTGTGGGAATTTGTTGCATAGGAATTCAGCATTAGTTTTAACATGAGCCGTCATAACTAATGTTCCCCTCATGAACCCACGCCCAGCGGGTGCCCTGCTCTTTATGTTGTTGTTGCTGGATTTAGAAAAAAAAAAAGAAAAAGCAAAGAATAAATTTTAAAAAGGCAAAAGAAAAACAAACAAACAAAAAACCCATACACAAACATACAGTACGAAAGAAGTACATGCTGAAGATCACCCTCTATAAATGCCTTCATGACTTAATTAATTAACATGCTACAGCATGGTTCAGAACAATGGCAATGAATGAGTCTTCATCCTCACCTTAATGTGCCCACTGATCCCTGTCAGGAACATTAATTACAACCTCAACAATGTAACAGCTGATATATCAGTATTGCTTTTTAAATGGCAGATAAATGAAAAGAGATGAGAGAAACACCATTCAACACATTAAGACTGTAGTTTTCATTGTGCACCAGAGGGGGCACTCGCCCTCTAGGCAACTCGTGTTTGGAACGCCACAAACAACAACCCAGCTGATCCAAGTGGTGTCGAGCAGAGCTGTGAGTCATAATATCTCAGTAAGGACTCATAAATGACTACACATAACAAATGTGAGGGAACTCTGTTTATGTTTCGTGTGTCTAAAAGGGAAAAAACAAAAACAAAACAGAAAATATCGGCTGATATCAGATTTTTTTTTTAAATCAATAGATATCAATATCAAATTGGATATCAATCAATATAAAAATCTGGACTAAAAGCCCAACTAGTGCTTATAAAACTGTAAAGGCCTGAGAATGACAACTAAAAAAAGATCCAAGAATGACAACATAGTAGATGCTAGAACCCGGAAAAAAAAGCATCTAGCAAGCAGACACGGAAGCACCATTATCAGCTCCCTTTCTAATATTGCATAGTCTTTATCTCACATTACTATGTTCCCTGAGATGTCTGCTGCTGCTGTCTGGAGGTATAAAAACAAAAACAAAGTGAACTGAACTAAAGTGAACTGCATAAACTTGAACACAGCTTAACTGACTTTACAGAGAATGTGTGGATATATATATATATAT